AATCTTTAGAACGACTTCAAACGAGGGCCTTAAGAATTATTCCGAAGGATAGTAATCTTAGTCGCCATCAACTGTTGTGCCAATTAAGTTGCAAGTCCCTCAAGGCACGTTCTAATATGCACAATTTAACTTGTGTTTATGAGTGTCTCCAAAACATTGCTCCAGATCTTATTAAGAGTTATTTTATTAAGTCTTCAGATGTTTATTCCATTAGGGGAAATGGATTAGATATTTTGATTCCTAAAGTTCGTACCGAATCTGCCAAGAAAGGAACATTTTATAGTGGAGCCCAGGCTTTCAATGACTTGCCACCGCATCTAAAGGAAGTTGACTCTGTAGTGATTTTTAAAACCCAGCTTAATAATAATAATTTTTTAGAGTTCTGGTTAAACGTTTGGATTTTTTTTTATTTACTTATTTTAGTTATCTTCTTCTTAGCTTTTATCCATCGACTTTGCACATAGTGTTTACATTTTTCTGATTGTTCATCTTCAATAGTTATTTTTTTTCCTTAATTGTTAATTTTTCAGTTGCCCAAGGCACCCGTTTATAACAGCTTCAGCTGACGGGTTTACCTTGTTTAAATATGTTTTTACTATTATTGTTATTATTAATACCTATTTTTTGATAACAGGATAGCTTTCAATTATGAGAAAAGTTCTTTGAGAGTAATCCACTTCTTCCTAGTTCAATTGCACACCAAAACAATCTATCAGGTACGTATAAGGTTTTATGTGTCATTTTGATTTAAAATATCAATGAAACTCAAGGTGCGGAACTTGCCAGAATAAGTCTGATTAACTTATGACAAATGAACTTCATTCGTATTTAAATAATTGGTTGTTTGTTTAGCAGAGCGTGATCTTAGGTCTATCAGTTTATTGTGTTATTTTTATCTTGATTTTTAAAAAGCGGTAATCATGAATATCATCAAGTTATCGCACATCAGGCAAGGCCACGAAAGTGCGCAAGTCACGAAGACTACGAAGAATCCGTGAGGTAAATAAATTCTCTTTCATATAAGGACTGTGAGACAATTTGCAATGTTAACAACTCAAACGAGGTGTCATATGATCTAAATTGAGTAGCTGCAGCGAAGTAACTCGTTGCAAAAAGAAAATTTTATACAGCACGTTTTGTTATCCATTACGGGTGCCCATTTCCCCTTTGCCACTTTTTTTCAAAGGAGAATGAGTTTGAGGCAACAAGATCTCTCCTCCTTAGAGGCCTCATGGGAATGATGGAAACATTTCTCCATTCCACATCAGTGGCTCATGTTAGTGGCCCAAATACCTCAGAGACCCTCCCCCCCTTGGTTTTATTGTTTCCATCGTCTCTCGCTTTCACGTAGTTATTTCTGATTTTTTTAATTCCATGTAAAATAATGGTAGCCATAAGGGGTCATTGAAAATAGCCTAATTTAATTCACACCCATAAACTGAAAACGAAAAATAAATAAATCAGGTTCAAACAGGAGAAGTAACAGGGTTCGATATAATATTGTGGTAAAGAAAGTCTCTTTTCCCCTTAAGGTCATCTGTTGAAAATATTAAAAAAGGAGATATAGCATATAGACTTTCATGCGGTATAAACCTCCCTTCCTTTCTGCCAAACCCAGGTAAGAGATGCACCAAAAACGTAGAATCAGAAACTTCGAAGGTATTAGCAAGTTTTTATTACGAAACTCGAAGCTTAGCTCACATTACATTTACCCTCAGTTATTAGATCAAATCGTTGAAGACGATCCTAATGAAAATACTTCTAAAGCTGGCACAATAATATTCCTAGTCGCAAACCTACGACATTCTTTCCTTTTCCTTAGCCGTGCTCAAGAGTAACTTAAAAGAGCCAAACCTTAAAAAAGAAACCTCAGATATAATGAGTCTGATTTCTAAGAGCTCGCGTCTATACCCTTTCTGCCTGAAGTAGTTCGTATGATTGTTTTATCTCCTTCTGTTTCGGCCGATTAGAGAACTATTTTTATTTAATTGCCATATAAACGCCCTTATAAATCATATCTATTTGAAAATGCCCCGCGTTTCATCCCTTCTGATGTTGTTTCTTATCCAGCTTTATCCGTCTGAAGTCTTTCATTTCTTTTTCCACGCTGTGCTTGATTTCATTTTACAGATATGAAACCTCCAGCGACGATCACTGTAACTAAAAGAAAGAAAACAGTGTCGTCAAAAAAATGTGTTACTTAAAAGTGAAAAAAAAAGAATTATAAAATAATTCATATAGTACGCGCGCTCTAATTGGCCATAAAACCATTTACATGAGTGTATGTAAACACGGTTTTCATACTGAATCTTCTCGCGGAGTTCTCTCTGCTATATATTTAGCAGTAACTCAGTTTCTTTAAGTTTGTTTTGAGTACAGTGATGGAAGAAGAAGATTTTCCTAATTTTTCTTTGGAGTTTAATTTTCCCAGTATTCAAGAAACGGCCGAAAAGCCAAATGAACAACAACAACAAGCACGTCGCTTTCCTTCGTCGCAAGAAAAGGCTCTTTCAATAGTTATTCTATAAAAGAAATGTAAAATGGTTTCCGTGTTTACATAGCCTGATGTAAACACTTGGGAGGTTGGGAGAATACTCGATGAGCTGGAAACTACTCCGCTTCGCGTCGTGGTTTCCTACGCTTATCTCGTGTTCCGCTCCCAACCTCCCGCGTGTTTACGTCAGGCTATGTAAACACGGAAACCATTTTACATTTCTTCAACATAATTCAGTCATATAGGTCGCAATATGAATAAATGGGAATAAAATATGCTTTGTTAAAAACAATTTAGACTTATGATCACTACCAACAGTTCGATTTTCACGAAAGGCTTTGTTTCTTAGAAATGGAACATTATACTTCATAGAATTTTAAGTGCAATCACGCATAACCTGAATAACACTTAAATAGCACCTCTTAATAATAATGAAAACCCATCATTGTTGAATGTAAGAAAAAAGATTACAAACCTCAAACTGTGATCACTAACCACACCAACTACGATGTAACCCGAATGAGTTCTATAGTTCAAAAGTCCTTCGTACACGTTTTCGTACCCCGTGGTCTTGTAGAGGTGACATTTTTAGCCCTCCACATGACAGCAACGGAAATTTACTCTAAAAAGAAAAAAATGGCATAAAAGATCTTTAATGTACCGGTAAGTCAAGACGAGAAGTTGTTTGTCGCTCCTTGTGTTTGATTTTTGTCTCACATTTTGGGTGCAGAAATTTTAGCCTAAATTTTTGAGATCTCTTCCATCCTCAAAACGATTTGGATCACTGAGGAGGGAGTGAAGGAAGCAAGCCAAGAAGCTTTCAAATGCAAGACTTACAGGTTGAAATGAAGTCGACGTTTGCAACGGGTTTAAATTTCTCGTTCAGGTTCGTTTCTCAAGTCTAAACATGTTCTGATAGGTTTAATTTCGTCCACTCTCAAACAATATTTCTTCTCATTTCGTGTCATTGTGGTATTTTATTTATGGTTTTTGTGAGGAGCTCTCAACTTTGTCCTCTAACTTTTTTCTGCTGAGGAAAAGTTTTTCTCTGAGTGATTTATCCATTAGGAAAATTAATTGAAGACAGCGCCATTGAAAAAAAAATTTAGACCTCGGTACCTGCGATCTTTATTGACCGTATTAAAATCGCTCACAATTCCAGTGATAAATCCATGCGACTCACACGTGAAGGTACAATTGGCGGAACCTGTCCTTTCGTTCGGACGCCAGATCAGACGTAGTCTTCGCTTGCGCGGTAAATAGCAGGACCAAGGCTACAGCGGAAATGGTGAATGCGATCCTTCTGACATTTTCGGAAAACACTAATCCACCGAGCATTGAATAGCCTGGTATTAAGATATAAGGCAAGTTAGCAACAGCTCCCTTTTCAGAGAGTTCAAGTATAACTTTATTCAAGGGGCAAACAAAGGGTAAAGGCAAATTCAACAGCTTTTGATGAGTTTTAGAACAAGTTAAAGAGCTTTACTCAAATTCAAGTTGCCATTTCTGTCATTCAAAGTAATAAAAATGATAAGGAAATTTTCAATTTAGTTGAAAAATGTTTCAACCCGCAGCCACTTCCAGGTAGCCAAAGCTACATAGCATGAAAATCAATTTCGTTTCCTTTTTTTCTCTCTACATCCTCTTCACATTAATAAAACTGCATCAATGGTTTATGAGTCTAAAATTTTACAATTCAACAAACTTCTATGGTCACATAATTAACTTCTTTTTTAAATTTTTACCTCAGCCAGTTCTGAAGTGTTCTCAGCCTTGCTTACGTAATTCAGCACATGTGACCAGTTACCCAAGTGAATACTGACCTAAAACCACCGAAGATAGTGACAACAGAAATTAATAGTGTGGGTGAAAAACAACCCACATTGTATACTTTGATTAATAAAAGTATTTCTTATAAATGCAGCTATTCAGCTTTTAATAAATATAAAGTATATAATATTGTGGTTCAAAGCTTTCCTTGGTTTTGACTTTTTTCAGAAAGTTTATGCTAGTTTGATTTTTCTTTGACACAGATATACATAATATGAAATGAGGGGAAAAAAACTTACAGTGGGTGACTATGTGCTTTGAATAAATTTCAAATAAAAAAAAAACAACAAACACTATGTACATATGACAGTCAGTTAAATATCTTGCATTACTGAACAGTGCTCAGTTCCTTGTTCATAATAATCACACACAAAAACATTTTCATAACTTTGATAGAGAAAAGATCTCTCCAAGGCCTTGTTAGGTACATGTACTTTCCAAGGATTGTAGTTCTTAATTAAATGATCATTCAATCACTGTATTTGTTGCTTTGACATTCTTGGGGAAAAAATCAATTTTTTGTAATTCAAATTCCATGTTTTTTTTTGCTGGATGCTTCAAGAGACTGGTATACTGCCATGATGTGCACAAACTCTGATTAGAAGCATGGATGAAGGACTAATATTAAAGGTAAAAAAGTATGTGGCAGGGCCTACCTTGATGACATTAAGACACATATTGACGACATGTTTTGCTGTTGTGCAGTAGTCTCTGGCTCTTGAGTAACACTTTAATGCATTGCTATATGATACAATAGAGAAGTTGACAGTTCAAAGATTAACAGATACGCACTGTTACTGAGAACAAAATCCTGAAATATTCAGGAAAATACATAATCTTTGTATGAACTATGTGTGACAGTTTCAATGTGTAGTGTATGTAAATGTAAATGTAAAGTGTCAGTAGAATTATCAAAAAGGCAAATTTCTAAGAGCTGCTTGTGAATAATCATGCTAAAACAAAACTAACTTCAGGTCTCCACACTCAAAGTAATGATCCCCTAAATCATCATGTCCACATCTGCCGAATAAAAGACATTTCTTGTAAGTACCAAATACAAAACTACACACATGGTGTACAAACTGAAGCAGTTATACCCAGGATTTTCATTTATTATAAGAATGAAGAGTTAGGAGGACAAAGTTATTCTAATAGAAATTACTGTCTAGATCTAAATAAAAATTAGAGCAAGCCACTTAAATTAGAAAAAGAATCTTTTTATCTCTAAAGCCTGGTTAACACCCTAAATGTATAAATATAATGTAAAGGCATCAAGTTCAAATAAATACCTGTCAAAGATCAACACCAAATTTTAATTTTTCAAACAACAAGAGATTGTTATTTTGTAATAAAATCAAGAGTCTCTTGATTGCAGTTTACAGAACAAAGTAAAAGTTTTTTGCTGTACATGCCAACACAATTCCATGAAAGGGGTAAGAGGAATCTGAAAGTAATAAAAACTGATTCACTGGTATAAACAATGTAATGAGTGCTTTAATTAACCATCTGATGAAAATAATTTGGTTTAAGGATAAATTGCAAAATCCAAGTCACCATTAACTGACTTTTACCTGATGCTCTCTTTGATTGAGTTACTTTTATAATTTTTCAGGTCTGTATCAAGCTTCTCAAGCTGCAAAAACAAAACAAGATGGGCATTTAAAAGAGAAAATATTTTCATTTTTTAAAAATTTAATTCCTAATGACATTGGTATGGGGTTGTGCCTACATCTTTTGTTTGAAGAGCATCCAAAATACTAACTGGATAGTCATGTAGGTTTAACTTGTGCTTAAGGTAGATCTTAGTTGCTTTTTTTCTTGTTCTCCTCCTTTGGAAAAAACATTCAAGATCTTGCTCCACTGACTGAGAAATGTTACCTTTCAATGACAGCTCAGTGAAGCTGGCAGGTGACTGCTCGTCAAAACAGAAATAATAAATTACCATAAGGGCAGCTTCAATCCAGGTGGCATCAACAGCTGGGCATTCCAATTCACTGTGGCTGCTGCAATATTGATTAAGATTGTATAAAGAGGCTGATACCAGGAAATCACTCACAACAGATACCTACTTTTATGAATATAAATTAGTTCATTCACAAAGTAACAGAACCAACTTTATGGATGGGCCAAAACATATAGCCACACTTCAGATTTCTCACAGTAAGATTGAATATTGGCAGTGCTTGCAGCTTACAATGATATATAGTTTTTGTAGAGCTGTACTTTGAGGCATTGTTTCCCCATGACATATCATTTATCTCTTTATTAGCTTGTACATAAAATGAAATCCTACACATAAGACCAAATGCAACAACACCAAAGAAACATTTTATGATGTTATTTTTCTCACTGTCTTTTTGTTCCTTTTTCACTGGGGTACACTTTGATGGAAATGTAAAATACTGCAATCTAATTGACTCCAAGAAGGTATCCAAGCAGAAAAAAGACAAAACTTCTTTAGGGTTACAATTACTAACCTACATGTACAAATGTCTTACCATGCTTCAGTAATCCGCATCACAATCTCCTGATAAAGCTGGACATTGAACATTTGCTTCACATTTTATTCTTAAGATATCAGTATCAAAATAAAAGTCAAACACAAGGCTTTGAGCAGCTAAATGTTTCCCAGATTATACATAGATATACATCAAATGATCTTGAAAAGTTGTAGCAATTCTTACACAACATGTTGCTCCTTTGAATTCTTCCAGAAGAGACTAAACACAATACAATAACTGCAGTTAAACTTGCAATATAGGAATTTGTTCACCCTAAAAAAAAAAATGTGTGGGGAAGGAGACTTGTAGTAAAGCTATTTCTCCTGATTGTCCCTCTGTTCTCATTCCTTACTGTATTTGTTTCTAATTTTTTACAATAATCAATTGATATGTACTTTATCATGCATACTGTAACAATCAAGTTTCACTTTACCTTAAAGCATCAACTTCAAGGGATGGACAATGTTATGCAACAAACATCAATCTGTTTAATTTTGTAAGGCTGGTATAGTTTGATGCATACACATCATGGTCCTGAAACAAATATTTTCAGCTCAAATGAGAGAAGAATTATGCTGGCATAACACCTGATCTGATTTAAACAGTAGTGGGAGTAGTAAGATTTGTGAAGTTTATATGTATGTTATTAACTGTATGGGAGGTTCATAAATTGTAGGAAAAAACTGGTGGGTGAGGCCAAAAACCAAATGAACCGTTTATTGCCAAATGGGCAGATCTACACCAGTATAAATTAACTAATGTCTAGATTTGACTTTTTCTGCTGGTTTGCTTCTTCTACTTTTCTTTGAATGGAACAGAAAAAATTCTGGTCTGTATTGGAAAAATCTAGACTGTTTAAGAGTGTCAAGCTAATCACATTTGAGTATTTACAGCTGTAAGATGCTAACCCACTGAGATGTTTTAATAGCAAAAATAGATTTATGTTATTTTCAAAGGCAGATGTAAAGGTTTTCCTACCAGAGTTGCAGATTCAATGGTGAAACTGTCTTCTAAAGGAGGATGATCACCCTCTGGTGCTATGTCAACCTGCATGGGCTCTATAGGGTTCTGAATGAACAAAAAAAATACAATGTACACAACTTCACTGCAAACTAAAACAAAAAGGTATTGTTTAACTCTTTGACTTCCAAGATCTCATTAGTAATTCTCATTTCTGTCTATCATACAATTCTTATGATGTAAGTTTGAAGAATTTGATATATGATCAACTAATAATCCCCTAATTGATGTTTTTATTTATGCTCATCACTTGTCTGCTTGGTAATGCATTGATATTGTAAGGAGAAATTCTACCTTGGTTCATCATGGGAGTTAAAATTGAGGATTAAGTTTCTCTTGCTCGATGACCAGGTTAAAAAAATCTATCATCTCTCTTATTACATATAAGTACATGACTCTACAATGAATGCATACAACATTACTGATCCTACTGTACTTGATTATGCAGAATGCCTGTGACATTTGAACAGGGTGCTTTGATTCGCCTGACTCGTTAACGAGCTCAGTGGTTGGAGCAGTCCAACGCAAAGTCTTAGAGTCTGAGGATCGAATCCTCTCGTAACACTCAGATTTTTCTTTTGCGCCATCGTTGTGCCAAATGTACAATATCTTTCTCGAAACAATGTGCACAAGTATGAGTATGGTACAAAACCACAGCTCTGTCCTCATGCATGTACACGCTATCGTCGGACAATTAATAAGTCGATTAATTATCATACAGAAACCGTTAAAAAGCTAAGTTTTACAGCTGATTGCAGTTTTATTTCCTCTCTCGCAGTCGATGGGTTTACGATGCATCGAATGGAGTGCTATTTTGAACACTAAATGAACGATCAAATTGTGATCTTGTCGCTTTACAAATACGAATCACCTATCAAAATAGCAAAACAAACCTTTTACCCACCTCATGGGGCCGACCAATTCTCGCTGGTAAAGGCACTGTCACGAACTAAGAGCTATGATAAACAGCCACTGTCCCAGTGCATAAAGTACCAAAGCTGCCAAAAAGTTGATGTATACTTTATGTAGCACATCACCAAAATATAACCCAGCGGTAAACAAACAAAAGTAATACATCTTGTGTCTTCTAATGTACTGAAAGATCAAATCTTATCCATGGAAAATTTGTTCATGTCAAAATCTTTGGCAAAAATCAAACGTCTGCGGAGCAAACCCATCTTTATTTGTGATATTTGTTGTCCACGAGTGGGTAACGACAGAAAACAGTGTCTGTTGGACGAGTCTCTGTTCTTATTCTTTTTTTTCTTTTTTTTCTTTTTTTTTTTTAGGTTGAGGGCGAAATTGGCGAGAGAGGTTCCCCAAAATAGATAACTATCAGTGATTGGCCCATACAAAGATTGACAATTGATCTGTTGAGGAGAGAATTTTATAACAGTCGCGAAGGGGAATGGGACTTTTTTAGTAACAAAAAGACAAAGATTTGTAATCTCGAGCCCAGGGTCATTTCGGCACAGCTGAAAATGAGCCGAAATGACCCTGGGCTCGAGATTGAAAAAAAAAACCAATTCCAAGAAGATAACAAATCAAATATATATAAATGCTTTATTGACCAAGTGAAAGATCAATTTGGCAGGATATTGACCCAGTGGCGAATTCGCGATCCACAAAAAAAACTTACACGCAAACTATTTTTTTTAGGCTCAAACCCTTCAATGACTATATATTATACTTTATAGTGGTTTCCTCTGTTTCTTTGCGTTACCTAATTAAGAAACGAAAGCTTTTACCACAGAAGGGTTCCTCTGAGAATACCTGAGCAAAATGTGCCTCTGAAAATCTCGTTAATGGTGAATTAAATCTTTTTCATAGCGGTTATTCTCCATAATAATCGTTTACCAGATTTAACAAAATGCAAAATTTCTTTTTATGGTTTATTTACCACGGCGTCTAATCACGATTTTGACATGATGAGAAAAACGCATGTTCCATGACATCAATAAAAGACATTTGGCCTTGAAATTATATTTCTTTTAGACCCTGTCATCGAGCAAGTTAACATGGACACTAATCTGCTTCCCATAAAATACTTCGAACCAGCCGCGCATATGTACACGGAAGTTCAGCGACTGAATAATGGTAAATACAAATTCTAATATCTCAACCATTGGATCCGTTTCCTCAAGCGCAAGCGCTTTTGCAAAGAAAGCGTTCTAAAAGGCGTTACTATCATCGTTATCAATATCATCAATTTTTTGGCGAATGAATCGTCTCTTAGCTGTTAAAAAAAGCCATCAGTCCAAAGATACAAAGATTCACTCGTTATGTCTCCTTTCATCAGTTCGGTTTACACAAATTCTCTTTTGAGGAACGTTTCTGGAAGCTGCAATCATGGAAAAAGTATCTTACGTGTTAAATGTTGAGGAAGATACTTATATTAGTGCTAGATGAAATCACTCAAAAGTATATAAGGTATTTATTCTTAATATCTGTTGGCACTGTTTCGATAATTTTGCGGTTTTGTAAACAACTATTGCTGATCATTTGTCTTTCAAGTCTTTTTTTGAAATCAACGCAGGTAAAGGTTGGGTTGTCGCTCACGCAGCTTTTTGAGACGCCTCTTACCAACACTGGTGATCTGAGAATTACCATACAAGCCCAAAGTCTCGACTGGACATTGCGCCTTCTGTAATGTCTGACATAGACTGGCAACACCAGCATCGGTGATCTGATTTTGACTTAGATTAAGTTCGGTGACTTGACATGCTGCTGTTTGCAATGCTTGACATAGACTGGCAACACCAGCATCGGTGATCTGATTTTCACTCAGATCAAGTTCGGTGACTTGACATGCTGCTGTTTGCAATGCTTGACATAGACTGGCAACACCAGCATCGGTGATCTGATTTTCACTCAGATCAAGTTGGGTGACTTGACATGCTGCTGTTTGCAATGCTTGACATAGACTGGCAACACCAGCATCGGTGATCTGATTTTCACTCAGGTTAAGTGTGGTGACTTGACATGCTGCTGTTTGCAATGTTTGACATAGACTGGCAACACCGGTTTCGGCAATCTGATTTTTACTCAGTTTAAGTATGGTGACTTGACATGCTGCTGTTTGCAATGCTTGACATAGACTGGCAACACCAGCATCGGTGATCTGATTTTCACTCAGATCAAGT